TCTCTCTGTTGCACTGAGTAGAGTCTGTGGTGTCAGCCTAGCTCAGAGCAACCTCAAATTCCTGGGTTCAAACGATCTCCTGCCTCTGCCTCCCAGGTAAATGGGACTACAAGTGTGTGCCACTTGCCTGGCCTATTAGGTGAATTCTTTTGCATATATTTTTCACCATAATCTATAAAATAAAATTACTTATTTATCTCCTGCCTTACACAATAATTAATTCAATAGGTAAATTAACAGTCTAAAATGTAATAGAGTTCTTTAAGGTCTAAGAAGTTTCCAGGAATTTATACCGTACTAGGAGAAATCAAGCCATTTGAATTAGTCAGATATATGTAAAGCATTTTAGTTAGGTAGGGAAAAGTACCAACAGAAGGCGTGTAATGAAGGTAATATTTATTTAGATGTATATCATTTGGAAAGCTTGACAATATTGACACAGAAAGAGCTGTAAAATACCAAACTAAAGCCATTTATGCTATAAAAGTAGGTGGTTTTCTTATACTGTAAAAAAAGAACACCTACCTCTACCAAATCCATGTCCTTAAGACTCAGTCCTGCTTTCTTCAGTGCCCCACTGATAGCAGGGACAGGACCTGTATAAGAATAAAAATCTTATATAGAAATAAATGCATCTTATATTTTTTATGTATCAAACTTCTCCCTCTTTACCAAATAAGGAAGAAATAATGTGACAGAGTTATTAGCAGTCACAAATCTTACCACCTTGGCAGCATATATTAAATGATGTGACAATAAAGAAGCAGAAAATGGAACCAAGGTAAAAAGCTGTTTACACGCTCAAGCTGCAGATGAGAGACTTACATGAAAAACTCTACCATGAATGGCTTTAAGATTTCCAACAGCCAAAGAAGTCATATATGGGATTTTATAGTCAGTTATAAATCATAATTGATATCAAACAGCAAGGCAGACTGAGTGCTCTCCTGAGATACAAACCATATGTATCCATAGTAAAGCAGGGATTTTGGCTACACTCTAAATTTTCGGGCCTATTTAGATAAAAGGCAAGAAATAGGAACAGCATCTCCACATTTATGCAGAAAGATGGGAAGCAATGAGATGCTTTAAAGATATCTGAAGATGTTTATAATTCCAAGGGTAGGCAGAGAATTTAAATAAAACATAACCCCTAACTCAAGAAATGCAAATCTACCTAATAAAACTTCTGAAATAAACTTTAACTCCCTTTGGCAAGGCACTAGGGATCTAAAAAAAAATGAAAAAGAAAAACCTTTAGCTCCCAGATTTCTGATGATCACCAATGACATTTTAATACTGCTTATAATTTTTAAGTAAATCCATATTTTTTCCCAAAAGGTAAAAAATCTGGCTACAGAAGATTATCTACTTCTCTATTTGTTCTTAGAGAACGAAAAAACTACCGTAAATGTCTATAAAGAAAAATATTTGGTATATTCTGTTGAATTCAAGTTGTCAAACATTCTGCAACGTTTCACAAATATACTCAAGGTAAAATGGGAAATCAGTCTTAACAAGAAAAGCATAATGAAATCTAAATTTAATATCAATTTATCTTGTCACCCAATTAAAATGCTCTTTGGACAACAGTCTGCTTGTTGATTAGGATCATCCAGTTAATGCTTTTCAAGTTAAAGTTCTGTGTGGCCACTGATTTAATACAGAATCTAATTCCAGATTCTCTTTGTATGTCTAAGGCATGAAACTGGTATGGGTAGTCAATAGCAAAGCATCAGTTATCCAGCCTGGTAAGGAGACAAAGTAGCCTCTAGTGGTGAAAGATACTCAGAAGGAAAAGTTGAAGGTGCTAAGACCACTGTACACACTTCCCTGTCTTCATAAACAACATAGCAAGCATGACTCAGTAGGTTCATGTTAACTCAGAATCCTTATTGTCAATTGTAACAATAGCTAGACCATAGCTTGGTTTTTAAAGGACTCTTCCCAGACCACTCTGTTATTTACTGGGAATCGGGAAGGTTTACTATT